TGCGGCTTTTGTCTTCTTATGTACCTACTTTTATATTCTTCAATAATTACATAGTGTAGTATATAGCCCTATATAGTATTTTAATAATCTCCCCTTTTGTAGTGTTCGTATAGACCTTCTAAGAGCATCTGAAAGCAACATAAACGGGACGTGCTGTGTCGAAGTGGCATTCGACCTTGAACGCTACTCTCTACCTCTCACTTAAAATAGTTACTTTCTCTTTCCCCCTTGTTGTGCATAATTCTGTTTAAAACATAATAAAATGAGTATACATATAGCACTGATTTCGGTAAGTCACTGGTTGGACAAACTGAAAATCAGCGCCATGGAAAAAAAATTCATGGCATTATGCTGAGTGTGCTCCTGTTCCCAGATGACGCCTTGACACATACTAGTATAGGTATTGTATAGTTTGTAATATGTAGTATATTGTAATTTGTATTGTATAGCCAATATTATTTGTAAATTATGTGTTTTTTTATGTTGTGATGGCGTCATTTTGGAGAATAAACCTTTCTTTCTTTCTTTCTTTCTTTCTTTCTTTCTTTCTTTCTTTCTAATGAAGTGTGTATGGAACGGACCACTGACTGACATGTTAGTAGTGAAAACACGATGTCTGATCAGAAACATATGAAAACTTATGAAACTGTTGCTTTTGCGGATCCAAAAGCAACCTCCTGGGATGATACAGAGATAGCATAAAGAGAGTTTTGAAAACGTTTCCTGAAAAGCATCAAAACGATTAAAAAATAGAATAGAATAGAATAATTTTTTATTCAATATAGATTACAAGTAATTCTTGTTGAAAGTCAATTTTTTCCTTTACCACCGGTTCGAAAATAAAACCTCTGTCCTGGGAAGAACCAGCAAAAAAACCCAGCGGGACTTTGTTTTAAATAAATATTTTACAATGTCAATGGTCACAAAATATTTAAAAAATTTATTTTGGAAACAGCTTGGAAGCGACCACCTCATTCCCAGGGGTTATTATCAACCTGGTATTAATTTATACCATAATAACCCTTTTTGTACAGTTTTTGTGTAATTAAATATTTAAACTTGGTAATAGAGACCTTCCTGACCTGTTCTTTAAGAAAGACGACAATGCTCTCTTGAAAAACTACAGACCGATTTCCCTTCTGAGCCGCGTCTACGTGCTGTTTTCGAGAGTCATTACGAATCGTCTCGAACACGCCGGTTTCCGAAAAGGCTTCATTACCATAGACCACATACATACCCTGCGGCAGATTGTACAGAAGACCGAAGAGTACAATCTGCCACTTTGCCTGGTGTATGTGGACTATGAGAAATCCTTTGATTCCTTCGAAATATTGGGCGGTGTTACAGTCCCTTCAGCGGTGCCAAGTTGAGTCGGTATATCGAAGTACTGAAGTGTTTGTACAGTAGGGCTACGATGGCTATCCGAGTACAGAACCAGAGTTCGAATCCTATCCAACTACAGAGAGGTGTAAGACAGGGTGACGTTATATCACCGAAAATCTTCACCGCTGCGTTGGAAGACGTTTTCAAACTACTGGACTGGAAAGAATACGGTATTAACATCAATGGCGAATACATCACTCACCTTCGATTTACCGACGATATAGTCCTTATGGAAGAATCGCTGGAGGACCTTAGCACTATTGCTCAATGACCTCAATGGTGTCTCCCAACGGATAGGTCTTAAGATGAACATGGATAAAACAAAGATCATGTTTAATGCCCATGTCACACCTATGCCGGTAGTTGATGGAAGCACTATGCTCGAAGTTGTTGACGAGTATGTTTACCTGGGACAAATAGTCCGACTAGGTAAGTTCAACTTCGACCGAGAGGTCAATCGACGGATTCAACGCGGCTGGGCAGCGTTGGGGAAATTACGACACATCTTCTCCTCAGGTATACCTCAAAAAGAGTGACGAACTGGTAAGATATGCAGGAAGTCGATGGATGCAGGTGGCTCAGGACCGTGCTTTGTGGCATTACTTGGGGGACTTATGAAGGGCTGTAATGATGATGATGACGAATGATGAATAAAGACCTAGTATATTTTTTGGGAATTTGTTGTAATAGCGTATACATTGTCCCAAGAATGAATTACTGACTCTACGGAGTCGAGAAACTGGTATCACTAGCTTGTGTTTGTTCCTAGTGTTTACAGAGTGTATATAACTTTTTTACTAAAACTGCTTTTGTTTTTGTAAACATACAATAAGTTTTCGTAAATATTTAGAAGCCAAAGTTAATATATTTATTTATTAAATTTTTTCTCTAAAAGATTCTCTTTGTTTTAGGTTTTAAATTGCTCTTATGGCCCTCTTCTCCAAAACAAAAATAGTTTAGAAACTATTTTTGCTGCATTCCCCCGATTCCATATGACATTATGCTATGAACATAACTTAAATAAACTAATCTAGCTGTCATGACACTAGTGAGATCTCTAATCTTTTTTACAGCATAAGCTGCAGAGCTTAGTCTGCTTGCTATAAATATATTTAACTGAAGTAATTGGACCTTTTTATTTCTAGAAACGAATTATCGTTTTAGGGAACATTGTTCCGCGTCACCAACCTCATATCATCCCGTGGGTTTCGTAAGAAGCGACAGAGTGAAACAAAAATAGGAGATAAACGTCAACATCTTCCTGATCACTATGGCAATAGAAGCTAAAGTATTGGAGTTTGCTGTTTCTCTGTGGACTGTACTGTGTGTATTGACTGAAGTGAATAAATAAATGAATTTGCCTGATTCGAATCAGACCTAGACCGGGTGTAGGCAGCAGCGTAATTGCAAATCAAACGTGGTGATTAAGGCCAAATTTCCTTACTTGGATTGTTCATGGCCAACTGTAGACCATTTACGGGCTTATTCCTACATATAATTTGCCAATTTATGATTCCCATTTTAGGAATTTTGAAGCATGCTTATTGGCTTGCTTTTAGTCACGCTAAAGGTGTGAGTGCGTGTGTTATGTCTGCTTTACTAGCAGTGAATTTTAATGCAATTAAAATTTTCAAATTGCCAATTAAATACACAAAATGCCATAGCGCCTAATGTACATGAACATGTTATTCGAATTAAATTAAGAGAGAGAACAGTATAAAGATTACAGAACAGTAAGTAGGTGGCTAGACGTATCGCATAAAAAATATAAAATTCTGTAAGTACGCTCATTGTACATTAGCACTACTGTAAATATTATCGTCATAGGCTTTCAAAATTAAAAATGACGATAATTTCGTAGCAACAGATTATAAGAACTTTAACCAGTTGAAAAAGAAAAAAATCTTTGTTATAAAGGCGTGATTGTTTTCTTAAAAAGGATTAGTGATTCAATCACGCAATTTTCAATTCAATTCAAACTAAAAAGAAATTCCAAAAAACTACATCGGCATAAGGCGGAAAAAATAAAACATTAAAATAATCTCTGGTCTAATAACACAGACAGATGACGTAGACCATCGCTAATGAGAGTCTGCGGAACGCAGCAATAACGAATATAAAATCTTCAGACTACACATCTACGCTAATGACTTGCTAGTCTGATACAAAAACCAAGAGCACAGATACAGCAATGAAGAAACTAAACGATGATGCCATTCTTATTAATAACAATAATAATAAACTTTATTAGCATATTTACATTCCTTTCCTTTACAATAATCTTTTTTACAATATGTTTAAAATAAGATATGTACAAATTTTTTTAAGTTATTGGTTATTTGCAATTATCTACTGAATACATTAATAACAATTCCTTCAAATCTAAGTATATGCTACTTAGCACAGAAGTACTAATTGTTAATTGACTAACAAATAATTATACAAAAAAAAAGGAAAACATCGTGAGGAACCCTCAGACATACACTAAGAGATAAGAAAAAATATTTCGAAGGCATGTGAAGTTCGCCAACATGCATTGGGGCAGCGCAGCGGATAATTCCTTGCCCTAAAATGCTCTCAGAAATGAGCGGAAGCCTGTGCCCAGGAGTGGGACGTATGTAGGCTGTAGCTTTATCATTAAAAACTAAAAAGCAAAGTAGTTTAATTACTTCTAAAGTTGATTGTCTTAGCACCTTCTTTAAAGACAGATCTTACTTTTTACGATTATAATGTTTTACATTAAAAATTCCATCTTCTATTTAACTATTCTTATTAGGTACTTCTTCAAATTTAAATGGTGGCCTAATGAGTGTGACATAAGAGCACACAGTTCACCTGAAGGTAAATGGATTTTGTAACTAGGGTCCCCAACCCTCACGGATTGCCCGGAAGACTCCGGTAATAATAGTTATTCTCCCGACTCCGCGGTGTGCAATAATTTCTCCGGTTTTTCTAAAAATTATTCGCATCCATCGCTCGCACTCGGTTTGCGGTCACACACAACACCGTGCCCCGCTGCCGGTGTAAATCTGTTCGTCTCGCCGTTGACGTTGTCGATTCGGCGGTGTCTGTACAGAGACAGACACGGCTGCATGTGGTACTTCTCCCCGTGGCTTGCCAAGTTTGTCGCGCGTTTGTTTCTTGTTGACAGTCTAATTAGATAATAAATTAGTTTTGCGCTAACGAGAAGCAATAAGTAAATTGAGAAAAACGGATCGTCATAACTCGGGAAGTAAGAATAGGTGCAAAGAAAAAAAGTACTATTGTTGTTACTGTAAGTTGTATTGTATTGTAGTGGTTAAAATAACATACGTGGTCATCGAAATAGGACGAGTTCACAGCAAAATGTAACATATGTCAGCATTTATTTTCAGTCAAGCCTGACGGTTTTGCATCTGTGAAATAACATGAAAAATTTTCAAAGCATGAAACCTTTATTAAGAACGCCAAAACAAATCAAGGCATCACGTCTATTTTTTCGTCTAAAAACAGTAAATTAGAGGATTTTAATCACTGCTGCTGACGTTACTTTACTTTTTCACGGTATCAAACATCATCACAGTTAATATAGTCAAGATTGTGGACACAAATTAAATGCTGTCATATTTTATGATTCGATGACTGCGAATAAAGTATCACACGGAAGAACAAAAGCCAGCAGTATTGCCGAAAATGTTTTAGGCCCGGCTAGTCAAGATATGCTTGACTTAGATAGTGACAAACTTTACGATGAGGTTGGACTTTTGGTTGAGATGCAACCACAGCTCGTTGAAGAAAATCGAGTGGATTTACGCTGGGTTGACTTCTTTATGAAATCGAAAGACAGAAATCCTTGCACTGAATTTAAAAAAATGGTCACGTTCGTTCTTTCTTCGCCTGTCTCTACTGCCTCTTGCGAGCGCGTCTTCAGTATGAGGGAACAAGCATAGGGCAAGGATAGAAACCGAGTTAGTATTTCTTTAGTAAAAGCAGAGTTACCGAACAAACTTCGATTTTTCACGTAAAAACTTTTATGATTTTGAAGTGAAAAATTTTAAAATATTAGATGTTGTGCGAAAGTAAAGTTAATATAAATTCAAAAATTAATAAATGATTGATATTTTGTTTCAATTCCCCCCCCCCCACTCGATTTCATAAAATTCTCCCGGGTTGGTCCTTCGAGAGTTGGTAACCCTAGTTCTGGCCCATAGCTATCTACATCTATCCTCAATTAAGAATCGAAATGCAGATGCGTTGCCACTCCTGAAGACTAAGATAGAATTCGTTTTACAAGTAGTTTTCTTCCTTGTACAATATCTCTGTGAAATTGTTTACCACCGGCGACTTTTCCGAACCGATGCGACTGAGTGACCTTCAAGAAAAGAGCTTACTCCATTCTAAAAGGCCGGCAACGCACCTGCAATTACCCTGGTGTTGAGGTGGGTCATAGGCGGCGGTAGTCACTTACCACCACGTGAGCCGCATATTCGTTTGCCCCCATTTCTATAAAAAATGCCTCGTTACCAGTAAAAAGTGCCTCCTGTTCTCCTCACTGACCAAACGAATGCGGCAGCATTAAGCAGCGTATTTATTTACTAATTCTGTATTGAAATGAAGTCACATTAAATTCCTTGCACTCAGAAACATAAAAATCATATTACCGGGTTTATTAATTGCAACACATATGTCACAAACAGGCTAACAGTCGACCCGACACCTGCCTACTCGTAACAGGTGGCCATTGCAGCCCGTGGGAAGCGATAACAAAAAGCGTTACCACCTTGGAAAACTAATTACAAGACGAAATATTTCTAAAGCTAGAAGAGAAAATTTTAGAGTCTTGCTATTCCGTATTTTTAATTATTAGATACTTTTATATATTGAAAAAAATAACTTTGTTATCTTAAAGTTGTTTGTTCGCGAACAAACCATCACTCACTAATTTCGCTTTATATTCTCTCCATCAATAATTGCACGTATACAAATCACAAGACAACGTCATTATATTAAAAATTAACAGAAAATATTATAGGAATTAATATAGCTACGCTAACACCTTTTGTGTTATCCGTAACTCCGAACGTTTCTAATTTATTCTTAATATAGCAGCAAATTAAAAATAAAAACTGTTCCAAGAAAAACCTGTTACTAACCGAAACCTAGTTCTTCTACTCCTAGTTTTATAATGTCGTTCGATGTTTGAATAAAATATTTTGCTTTTCATTTTATGGGATAAGAATCCCTTTATACCCTACATATGAAATTGACTTATTCGACAAAAAAATATAATATAAGATTTAATGCTAACAATATTCTAGAATGGAATCATTTGCTGGAGTCTGTTTTTTTATTCCATTTCAATTTGGATGTCTTCAAAGCAAGTGAAATGGCTTATGTTACGCTAATACGGTGCGATTTAATCAGTTTGCGTACATATTCTCAATGAAATGAAATTATGTGTCTTGCCTAGTTTGAAGACCACCTCTCGCTATTTTACTCTTTAAACTAAGTAAGACATATCATGTCATTTCAGTTAGGATGGCGTTTGCTGGGACAAATAGAAGTAGAAATAGAAATAGAAACTTTTTTATTCAATGTAGATTATAAAAATACTTATTGAAGGTCACTTTTTTAATTTACCACTAATACAGTACTACCACAGTAATACCACAAAATATCAGTTTGTCCCAGCCGGATATCACGCAGAAACTAACGGAGCGCATAGACGACCTGAAGCAAAAGATTGCTGCTTGGGGGAAGCGGATTCGACGATTTTCCGAGTAGTCAAGGCGGTTCAACCAGAATCGTCTCTTCCAGAGTGATCAGAAGAGGCTCTATGAATTATTGGAGCGACCAAAGGTATGTGGAGCGGGCCAAGGACCGGATCAGGCTGACATTGTCGCATTCTGGCGTGGCCTGTGGTCAGAGCCCGTAAACCACAGTGAGGGCCCTTGGATGGAAGTTGTGGCGAGCCAGGGTGCGAGTGTTACGCCTATAGACCCCATCACCATAACGCCAGAAGACGTGGCTGAGGTGGTCCGTAGGGCCTCGAACTGGAAAAGTCCGGGGCTCGACGGGCTGCATCATTACTGGCTGAAGGGGTTCGTAGTGTGTCACGCTGTGCTCGCCCGACAGTTTCAAGAAGCTCTCGACCAGAAGTCACTCCCGAGCCTCTTCACTACTGGGATCACTCACTTGGTTCCTAAAGATCAGGATACCACAGACCCGAGCAAATACCGCCCCATCACGTGTCTACCCACCATATATAAGACAATGACATCCATTTTGAGCGCGAGAATCACTCGTCACCTGGAGCTAAACCAGGTGATGTCACGCGCTCAAAATGAACCACTCCTCATTGACGCGGTCATAGGCAAAGTGGTGAAACGCAACCGTCGGAACTTCTCTGCCGCCTGGATAGACTACAGAAAGGCGTTCGACTCGGTGCCCCATACATGGCTAAAGAGGGTCCTCGAGCTGTACAAGATTGACTGTACGGTTAGAGACTTCCTCGAGCAGTGTATGGGGCAGTGGAGTACGATCCTTTGTCATCTGGGTGAACGGATGACGGCTGCGGAGAACCACATAAGGATAAGAAGGGGTATCTTCCAGGGCGATTGTCTGAGTCCAATCTGGTTCTGCCTCTCTCTGAACCCTCTCAGTACCTTACTGGAGGGATCCGGGAGAGGATTTCAGCTACGGAAAGGAGGGACAAAAGTGACCCACCTTTTTCTATATGGATGACCTCAAGTTATTCGCCTCCAGTCGCTCCCATCTTATGGAATTGCTAAACATCACTTGTGAGTTTAGCAGTGCCATTGGAATGGAGCTGGGGACGGATAAGTGTGCGGTCCTCCATGTTGAAAGGGGAAGGGTTGCTAACTCTTAGGGCATAGACTTGTCTATGCCCGTCAACTTAAGGACCCTTTCCGAGGCTGAAACATACCGATACCTGGGTATGTTCCAGAACATCGGTATCGATGAGGCTGGTATGAAACAGTCAGTTTGCGACGTGTTTTATGCACGCTTGACCAAAGTGCCCAACAGCCTTTTGTCCGGTGTGAATAAGACACACGCATATAACGGCTGGGTCATGCCTGTCCTCATGTATACCTCTGGCATACTCAGGTGGACTCAGACTGAGCTTAACGCCCTGGATAGAAAAATCCGCACTACCATGACGTCCCATAGGATGCATCATCCGAGATCGTCGGTAATGAGGCTGTACTTGCCGCGAAAGCATGGTGGGCGTGGCTTTCTGAGCGCGCTCACCATGCATAATCGCGAAGTGTGCAGCCTCCGTCAGTACTTCTTGGCGAGATCGGATGATCCATTCTATAATGTGGCGGAGAGTCCACTCTAAGGGACCGGCCCATCATCACAGACAGGACTATTCTTGCAAATACGCCTGATATTGTGCTGATGGACCGGGCACAGTCAAGGATATTTTTGGTCGACATTACCATTCCGTATGACGAGAACCTCGTGAAAGCCGAAACAGATAAGCGAACAAAATATCTGGACCTGGCTCACGAGGTGACCGACATGTGGGGTGGTTGGCCGACCGAAATTATTCCTGTAGTCGTCTCTGCGAATGGGCTAATCCCAGTCAGCCTCTCGGGTCATCTGAGGCGACTGGGACTCCGTGACGGACCGCTCCGAGCTCAAATGCAGAAGGCGGCTCTCCTCGATACCGCCCGCATCGTCCGTCGGTTTCCTTCCCTTTCCTCCTAACCCTCGGCCGTTTGGTCTCCCCTGCCGAGGGCTTCCATCTGGTTGGATCTTTATTTATTTGTGTATTTTTTGTATTTATTTTATTTTATTGATATTTATGTATATTTATCTTTTCATTTTAATTTATAATTATATATTTATAGAAACCAACCAGATGAGAAAACTATACAGATACCCAGACAATAATAATAAATTTATTTCAGACCCACATATAGTCCATAACATGTTAGTAAATTAGCTTAACCTATGTTAGTCTTAAATTATTACACGTACAATTTTCATAACAATTATTTTATTTTTATTTTTGGCACCCCATGACACCAGGCACATGCAAGTGCATACGCATCCAGTGCCCTAGGATGTGACAATCAAATCTATCCGATATTGCCCTCAGAATGCTATTAGAGCTCCCACGAACCCTGCGCATGAGGGATGCTATTCTCTTTCGAATTATGGCATGAAAACCGACCGTACCGTACGCTGTAAACATCCCTGACTACCTGACCTGACTTGAGCGCTACAATACCGCGGAAACCCCATCAGCATCCTGAAGGCATTATTATATTATACTCGAAGGGCATTGTAGGCTCTCTGCGTGTACTTAACCCATAGACTGCACGTGTAAAATGACTGGCAAAAGGCTTTGAAAAGTGTTACCTTAACTTCTTCTGCTGCAGCGTGCAAAGCTACGGGACAGCATGTTACAGCGAACCGCCAATGCCCTTCTTTCTCTTTCTATGTCCGCATCATCAGTCGGATCCTCAGTTAAAACGTGACCAAGATACCTAAATTGATACACTCTATTTAACTGTACGTTCCTTAATCTAACAGGTGGAATCGTTTCAATTTTTGATCAAGCTCGAAATAACACACTTCACTTTTTTAACATTATAAATGAGACCGTGAGTCTCAGCATAAGTATCACAAATATTAAGTAATGTCCTCCGTACGTTAATCGATGGGCTCAGCAACACCATGTCGTCTGCATAGCTTATGCTGTTAATGAAATGCCCATCTATTGAGCAGCCGACACCAGCGTTGCTAAACTCAACGATTAACTGGTTAATATACAAGTTGAAGAGCGCTGGTGAAGTTAGGCCACCCTGTCTCACCCTGCACTCTAACCTGTACTCGTTGGACAGTGCCTCTGTCCATCTGACCTGATTTATTTGATGGCCATACCAGTATTTAAATATTTCAATCAACTCGCTTGGTA